GAGGTGAGGCTGACAGGGCGGTAGTTCTGGTGCATCCAGACTAATTTCTTGTAATTAGGCACGTGAAATATTCTCTTGTCTTATGTCATCATAAAGCTCCCAGAAATCTCTCCAAAAGGCCAGCATCAGGGACAGTAGGTAATGGCATGTGATCTACTGGTAAGAAGTTGTATTATTTCTAATATGGCTAGTACACTTTGTCTTGTTGCTTCAGGTTTTAGTGTCAAGGAAGGCAAAAGTCCTGTGTTGCATTAATTCCGTGAAACATCTTAATCCATTTAACTTCTGGTTTTAGAAAGCTGTTACAACAGCATATCCTCCTGCATACGTTGAAGGGATGTTTTACTGGACAGGCTGTGTATTTATCAAAGGTTGAAATGTCTTTTTATTCATGTCTCCCAAGAGCTTGAATATGACACAGTTCATTATTCTATAAATGGATTCTGATTGCTAGTGTCACCATTATGCAGGAATACTCCGTTTCGCAGATATGGAAACAGAACAGGAAGAATTGATTGATGTACAAAGGTCATACATGAAACCTATTAGTATTAGCAGTATGTCTCCATCCCAAAAGGAATGCTTTGCTGTTGACAGGATATATATAATGAAATGGGAGCCCTGTTTCCTATGAAAAGTTTGGAAAGTAACACTATATAGGGCAAAGATACCATGTTGCTATATTAAAAAAGATGAGACAAAGTTTCGTGTTTTCCTCACAGGAGGCATTAATCATAGGTTGGCATTTCTGATAAGTAAGAATCTGCTCATTAAGTATTTTTCCTGAAGATATTTATTCTTATGCAAATCCTTCAGTCAATCACATTGGTTGGTACATTGGAAAACTCACACTTATCTTGTATGTGACCTGATGGAAACTTCTTTTAGCAAGCCTGGCTTTGTAGCACAGTTTTACTCTGAATTTAATAATACAAAAATGTCTTTTACATGCATATGAAAAGTGTCAAGTGTGAGTGTACTCTGGCTACTGAAAAAAATTCCACTTAGCATTGTAACATAACTTTAAAACTGCTTCCCCTTGCTCCCTTTGAAATTTAACTTACTGCTTTTTGATAGAACGCATCATGAAATCACCATTTGAATCACACTGTGTCTTTGTTTTAAGTTGACTTTCTATGTAGCTGCTGTTCTGCTCTAAAAAAATTCAAATGACATCCTAAGAAGTCAATTACATAATCAGCTTAACATTCCGCAAGGGACTGGCTGGGTCCAAAGCTCGGATGCTTGTCCTCATTCATTATAAGTATCTAAACTCACCAACTCTCATGGTGGGCACAACACATAGAAAAGTTTTTTTTCAGCAACAAGGATGGAATATATTTTGGTCCACAAGGGCTCTGCAGTTGAGCCCTCAGAGAGAGGTTACTCACCTGCCTATACTGTGAGATCATATAGGCACTGCCAGAGTTTGATTCCCTTTCTAAAAAGCTGTCTCTCTGAAATCTCAGATGTCTTAGGGAAGATCAATTGATCACAGGTTGACCATGAGGCCATCCCTCATGAAGGCTTACTCAGTTTCTCTTAACTGAGCAAAAGTGAAAAAAAAGTCTCCCTAGAGTTACTAGTATCTGATGAATGGTACGAGGAAATTTGCAGCTGGCTTAGGCTGGCTTAGTCTTGGATGGGACAGGAAGGGAAAACAGTTCTACAGGAAATTCTTATTCACCTTGACTTAAAAAACAAAGGGGATAGTGCATGGAAACAAACAATATTGCTTAATCTAATCAAAAGCAAAGCAAGGTGGCACATGGGAACCCAAATTTCAGTAGAACTGTGGATGATTTCTTCAACGCCCCACCCCTGCCCAAATCATACTGCTAAAAAAACCACATACATGGGCTAATGATAGAGACTTACTGCAGTGCTTTTGTAAGAAAATGTGACCTATTAATGTGCATTTATGTAATACAACACCAGGACATTGTCATCAATCTGGACAGCCGCCTGTGACCTTCTTTCTTTTCCTTTTCACTTCCTCCCTGACAATGCTATAATTCTTTTTATACTAAATGCCTGTTGGTATTCTTATGAATTTGTCTGCCCTATTAGTTCGTTACAACCTATGTGGTTTTTTATGTGCTAGACATCAATAAGGTATGCTTGATCAAACCTGTGGAGGACCCCAAAGGGCCCTCTGTAGTTCCATGGACACTGATGATGACTTTCATCTTTTTCAATAATTTAACAGCTGTTGATTTTGTTTTTCTAGCAATACACCTGGAACCTTTCTGTACTGTTGTGATTTTGCTTCAGGAGCAGTGGATCTGGTAAAGGTAATTCATAGGCTCCCTTTAGAGTACCTTACAAACCTGTAATTCAGGAGGCTGCCAGGAAGCCATCTTCATGAAAAAGAATGTGATGGCTTTGACAACTTTTAACTGAAGTTTTAAATATTCCAAAGAACAAAGTCTTACTCTATGCAGAGAGGAATGAATACCATCAGTGAGCTTGCTTCTCAGCTTGAGTAAGATACCAGACAGAATAGGCTTTTATATGACATGTTTTACAATGCTGAATAATTGAAGAAAAAAAGTTCCTTGAGTTACAGTAAACGTATTAACTACTAGTGTTCTCTCTGTACCTCTTTTCATCTTTTTCCTGACAGTCACATTCGTCCTACAATTCCATCCGGTGTTCTGCCTTTGTTCATGATGTGTGTGATGATGCTTCACCCTATCCTTTTCCAGATGAGATCCTGGATGTCATTCTACTTGTCTTTGTGCTTTCTACTATTCATCCTAACAGGTAAATGAAGACTAAAGGGCAGAGCAAATTACTTAAATCTCTCTTCTTGCTGGAGGTTTTCAAGAATAGCAAAAGAAGATGTTGAATCTTTATTATGTTATATATATAATAAGGTATTTCAAATCCTGTTTCCCACTTTCAGGCTTAAAGAGAAAAGCTGGTCAGACTAATTCCTTAGTGAGCCTCCTGCATCTATCAAAATACAAGGGGTATATTGTAACTAAATACATCCCTATTAAAAGTGAGAGTGATTCAATAAAAATTGCATATTAAAACCCCAGGCTGCTAGCGTTCTGTAAGGAAATTAGTTTTAGTGATCAAAACCAAATTTTCGTGACTTAACACCTTACAATTTGTTTATAAATACTTGGGTTGCTGATTTACTGACACACAAGTGCTTACGGGCAGGCCTTTTAAACCAAAATGCATTCAGAATTTTGTAATGTTTGGATTAAGAGAACTTGATCTTCTTTTCATGCATAGTGTCATGTTGAGTGCTGTTAGCTTTGTTACTAATGCCTCTCAATGTCTAATGAACCAAACTTTATGACAGTTAAGGCTGACTGATTGTGAAAATGCCTTTTTTTTTTTTATAGGAAAAATGCAAAAGAGGGCATGTAAGTTAAACTCCATGACTCTTCCTTTAACTATATCATATGAAGGGGAATACATGCAGTATATGTAGTAATATATTTATTAGTTTAAGAATGTTATCAAAATGTGCTTGACAAACAGAACAGTATTTCCCTAAGTCTGAGAACTGTTCCCCTGCCTCCCTGCATAAGTTATTGTTAACTTTAGAGAAAAGTCTTTCCCATATAGGATATTACTCCTTCCTGTTTGTTCAGAGATGAGCACATGAGTCATACAAAGCCTGGATCCAGACTTTTGAAACAATTTGAGCAGTAAATTTCACTTCTCTAACTGTGGTGGTGCTGCCAGGAATAAATTGGACAATAGAGACACATTCATTCATTTGCTTTGTTTGTAGAAGCAGTAATCAGATGTTCTGTCAGAATTTCTGTGGATCTTTTCCTATTAGTAATTTGAGAACATGTTTGGCTTTTTCTTTGCCTCTCCCCATGTCAGCATCTAAAGGCTGATCTGACTTGATCAAACCCTGATCCGTAAGCTTTTAGACAGTTCCTCATCCATTCTGAGGCCAAGCTCCATGGACTCCAGCTGATAACTGATATAGAGGGGGACACGCCCTCTTCTTCACCTGTCTTTCCTAGAGTTTATATCTCTCTATTCCCATGCTCTAGTCATAGGAGCCATCCCACCAAGTCTCAATGATGTCAATAACATCATGGCCCCGTAGGCATGTGCACATCTAACTTCATAGAATCACTGTGGTTGGAAAGGACCTCCGGGATCATGAAGTCCAACCTTCCTCCCAGCATCTACCTAACCACTAGACCATAGCCTCAAGTGCTACATCTACTCATTTTTTGAACACCTCTGTAAAGATTTCTGTGTTATTATCTGTACTGTAAGACCCACTTTCCAAAGTCTTGTTAGTCATTACTGTCATCTCACAGAATTAAAATGATAGCACAAAGGCAAATGTAATCCAGGTCCATCTTGCTCAGTATGCTTTTTTTTTAATCAGTATATTTTTTTTTTGTCTGGAAAATTTGACAGTGGGAAATGAAAAAGAAAGCCAAAGCCAAGAGAATTATGATACAGAACTTATATACTTTGGAGACCTGGAAAATATACATGAGAGGAATGCATTTTTATTCAGCACAGCTGTTACTTAGTGATTTCTCTTCAGGCTATTGTGTTTAGTTTTTGACACTCCTGTCCCCCATTTTTAACATACTTCAATTCTGCTAGAAGTCCCCTCTAAAAGCTGGTTGCAGGATTTAAATGGTATTAAACTTTCTTTAAGCTATATAATTGTGTTCCAGTCCTATGGGATAAGATTTCTCAAAGCACTTTCACATTTTGCACATGTACATTTTTATTAGGTGAACAAAACTTGTTTATATAGGTGAAGTCTGTAATTCTGTGCATAACTACCCGCCTTGAACAGTCTCTTTTGGGTGGTGCTGCCTCTTCTGTCTGTGGCAGCACACTTGGTTGCCTGTGCTGAGCAAAAGCAAAGAGGACATCTTTTAAAGCACTTACCTTCCTCTAAGGGAATTCCATGCTTAAAAAGTGTATACTGCTTTTTGTTCATTTGTTAGTTTGTAGATATATTAGTTCAGCAGAAAATATCTCTGAATTCTGTTCCTTGAAAATCAAGGTAAGATGCTTGTACATGATGCCATAAGGACCAAATTGCACTAGTGCTTGAGTTCTGACATTCTTGAGGTAAGGCAATCTGAGAGACAGGGATGGTGTGAGGGTGTTGTCTTAGTATGCAGTAATGGTATGCTGATTTCCTGTAGTTAAGTGGGACTTACTCTTCTTTAGCTCTTCTCATATACAGCACCCTGCCTTTCTTTTCCATTCATTTAGCATTCGCCCTCTGCTCCACATCTTCTACAAAGTCTATCTGCTTCCCTGTGGGAGGACGTGCTGAATTAGGCAAGGAGACTTTTATACTTTGCAGCCTGCCAGGTGCAGACAGCCTTTTGTGGTCTTTCATGAAAGTGGAAAACTTGAGTCCTTCAGTTTATTCTGAATGAGTGAGGCAAGCCCAAGTTATTCATTAGTAACTTATTTTGCATAGTAATACAAATGTATTTATAAGAAGCTCCAAGGTAGGATTAAGAAGTGAGAATGAAGATGATCTAGTGAAGGAGAAAGAGTACAGTGTATGGTACTTATTCCTATCATACATACAACAGGCTGGTGTAAACTTGATAAAGAAAAGCTTGATGTTAGATACTACCAAGATTCACAAACTTGTCAACATTTTGTAGGATGCAGACTTTCCTCCTCAACTACCTATCTCCAGTTGTGCTAGTTTCCTCTCCTGAGGTACGACTTGGATTCTGCTTTCCATCCTCAACCATTAGGTGTAGAGATACTGTTTTTCTGTGTATGATCTGTACCTGCATAAAAAAATATCAGATAAGGTTTTGCCTGCCTTCTGGGCCCTTGATTTTGTTATGAAACTTTGCAAGAAGGCTCAGTCAATCTCACCAATGCATGTAGCTTACCAGTCATTGTTTGTCATGTATCTGCCTGACCCATATGAACCATGAATGCAAAAACTGTGTTTTAATGCATCCTTGAGATTCTGTTGAAGTAAAGGAAAAGGGCTTCTTTTCTCTTTCCAGTTCGTATTATCTTATAGTTCCTTTAATAGTTTTGGTTTAGAGGCTTTTCTGTAGAGAATTCTTCCTGTTCACTGGTGCTTGGCCTTTTTATAATAAATATAGACGAATCTTCTCACTATAGTTTTGGAAATCTATGTATATTCGAAGCAGCTGGAAAAAAAACAATTATGTTTGCAGATTTCACCACTATCCTATCTATTTTTTAAGGATGCAAAGAGTTGTAAATAGGTTGGCGAAACTACTGAAACCTGGAGGAATGTTGTTATTTCGAGACTATGGAAGATACGATACAGCTCAACTCCGTTTTAAAAAAGGTAATTTCCTGAATGCTTTTGTAATTCATTGTCATTTTTTCCCAAAAAGAGTGAAAATGAACATCTTTTTCATTACTGTTCTAATTTCTTAGGTCAGTGCTTGTCAGAGAATTTTTATGTACGAGGAGATGGAACCAGAGTGTATTTCTTTACCAAAGGTATGAAATAGTATAGTTTTATAGAATGACTTGAGTGTCTCTCAAGATGACTTGGGTTGTGAAAGCTCATCTTAAAAGTCTAAGGAATGTTTTATTGGCTTTTAAAAAAAAATCATCGGCTTTTACAAAGCCCAAAGCTAACTGTTGTAAGAAAATAATTCTCTTTATATGTACACTTACTACATCTGGGGTCCTGCAAATTTCTTTTTTCTTGTGTTTAATTGTATGCTCAAATTCTATTATTTAAAATGTACTTGATTTCTTTCTTAAAATTGAGATAAATATACTTGGAAGGATAATATGTAGCAGTGTTCTGATATTTTGTTCTGCTGTGTTGGTGAATCTGAGCTGTGAGGCTACTCTTTCTGCGGGGGCTAAACTTAAATTCCTGATTATGGGTACTATTGCTGTTTGCCCATCTACTCACTTGGTTCTAATTGGCAGTCAGCTTACATTGGTATATTTTAGCCCAGCTACTGGCAATTGTGAAAGTGAGCATCACAATACCTTTTTTTCTTTTTATTTTTTTTACCATCTGTAACCTAGACAAGGTAAGCAATAGAGATGAAACAGGATTCATCCCAGCCTGAGTAATTTTAGAAGTGAGAATAAGGATTTGGGACATGTATGGGAAATCACTTGAATTCAAAGAGACATCTCAATTTTTAAATGTCTTATTTTGTGCTTACCTGTGACAAAGAAGCTAAAACTTTTCTAGTGGTGTCTGACAAGAAGAAGATAATGGCATAAATGTATGGATTGTCATTTGACAGGTGAAATACCTTTATCCCAATAATATGGCAACAGTAACCAAATATCATACATTTGTTTTCCTCAATGCTGGCATACTGAACCCTCTGAAAAAAGGATATCTGTAAATGCCATGAGTAATCACCAATGTGGTTTGGGCCTCAACGTATAATTTTTTTTACTGTAATATAAATCAAGAACTGTGAAAATTAATTTCTAACAAAGGACTTCTTACAGGCAGTTTCCTTGATCATTCAAATCACAAAACAGATTTAGTCCAATCTTTGCTGGACTACAGGTTGTTAATTACTGCTTTCTACATATTTTTTTTTTTTTTTAATTGCAATAAATCTTCGTATGAGAATATAGAGGAGGTATGGAAGATATTTAACTCGGCTGGATTAACTGAAGTACAGAATTTAGTTGATCGTCGATTACAGGTAAACAGGAAGAAAAAAGTGAAAATGCAGCGAGTCTGGATACAAAGCAAATTCCAAAAACCATTGCTGCTATCTGTGAATAATCCTGAAGAAACTACTGGAAGGCACCCTTATAGATGATTGTACCATGAACTCCAGAAACTGAAGGAAATTCGAGTACGTATATTTCTTAGAAATCTTGTGTTAGCCACTGAAAAGGACAAATATATTGTAATGATAACCATTCCCTGATTTTTTTTTTTATATATATGGGGGTTTTTTTGTAAATGTGTGGCCAAAAACAAATTCTGATTTCTGTTTTTACATGCAATAAAGGGCTACGCATTAGTCTAGTCATAAATATGACCAAGCACTATTTTACTTTCTTGAATATGAATACTAAATATAAGCATATATCTTGTTTCTGTTAAATTTCACAATGTGCAAAAAGTTTTAGAATGAAGTGTAGTTGTTTCAGAGCTACAGAGAATCAGAATATCTGATCTCACTATCACTCTAAGCTGTGCTTTGTTAATTTCTGATTCGTGTCTCTTTTAACCACTGTGCATTGTACAACTGTTTTCTATTTGGGGAGAAATTTCTTGGTGCATAAATAAAGAAGACAAAATCTTTCTGATTTGCATATAAGTTACTGTTTCATACTAACTGCATGTGATATGTATAGGTATCAGATCAATCAGTGGCTGGCACACTCTGCTGTGACTGACATTCCTCTGAAGTCTCCACTTTCCATCTATAGGCTCATCAGAAACATGCTGAACTCAAGTTTTTGTAATAGCTTACTGACACATATATTATATTTGAAGTGCAGTAGGTTGTAAACTGAATAATGTGTAGAAAAGTGTTAAAATGCTAAACTAGTACTGAAACCAAATTGTTAACATTTGCCTTGATAAATACAAGCATTGTTTTTATGGTATGTCAGTTGTGTTAGAGGGAGGAGCAAAAAGAATAGTACAGACTGCATTTTATTGATATTGTTATAGGATAATGTAATCACACTGAAATGGCAATCTCCATGCAGATGTGATAATTTTGTTGTTTACAGAGAGCAGTTGCTTTCATAGGGCTTGAGTCTTAGGAAGGAGACTCAATGTTTTTATATTGATCCTGTGGAAAGACAGGACTAGTACCTCAAGTGTTTTCAAGAAGAAAAACAAAATGGAACAGTGTTTTCAGTTGTGGACTGTGATACTGAGGCTGTTGAGCTACTATTTAAAGATGCTGCTTCTGCTATTTAAGTGTAATTTTACAATAACGTAGCTACAAGGAGGAAAGGACAAGAAACAGGTGAATGAATAAAATAAATCTCTTAATTCAACAAAGATATAGAATGCATGTAATCTATAAAGTGCATGCAGTTTTGAGTGCCATTAATATAGTGACACTCTCAAAGTCTCTTGCTTTTGTTTTAGTCTGAAGGGTAAGCATGTCACTGTTGACAACCCATGTATTTGCAAGTTCTTAGCTGCTAGGGTAAATAGAACTGATTGTCTTCTAGGAAAAAAAAATCTAAATTTAGATGCTAAGCATCTTCATCCATTTTGACAAGATGAGGCACCTGCTTAATTTCCATAAACCTACATCTGTTTCAAGAATGAGGTGCAGTAAGGGGTTTTTGAAGGTAGGATCTGATCCTGCATTTCTGTTGCATTCTAAACTCCCACTAGAATAAGATACTGTTTTATTACTTAAGTGGCTTAGGAAACTTTAGTTAGCAATGGCATTATTGTAACCTGCAATAAAACTCGTGTATAAATCAAATGTTAAAACGTAGCTGAGTTTTTTTAAACCCTAATTCTTAAAACACTGTAGCATCTCCATGGGAAATGTAAATAAATATCTCTGTGTATTTTTATTAGGTTACTACCCTGTGCTATTGATCATGACTTCTGAGTGTGTATAGCTCTTTGTCTAGTACAAAGTATTTTTAGTTGTAGAATTTTCCATGAGGGTGATGATAAGCTCTTGAGCATCATGCAGTATTATTCATGTGTGTGATGTTGATTTTGCATGTGTAGAGACTAATGAAATATTTGCTTTGGCTCTCATGCCGATATGTTGATTCTGGCACGATTTTAAAATTCACACGTTTTAAATTAATGGTGCCTGTTTTAAAAGTAGTAAGACCAGCTACTGTTTGTAAATTTACAACATCCACTGCAAAGTGAGCTGTAACTAGTCTGAACAGTTGTAAGATGGATAGAAGGGGAAATGGGCAAAGACATTATTCCCAATAAGAAATTTTGAATCTGAGTAGGACTTCATGTATTTTGCTTCATGACATTTAAATTTTCAAAAAGCTTAATCAAGGACATGTTTTCAAAATACTTTTAATTTATCTGCATTGGTTGGGTAAACTAATATTACAATATCAGCAAAAGAAAGGCAATTAGAACTACTGAAATTAAAGAAAGAAAAGAGATGCAGACAGCTGTATAGGAAGTGCTGTTCAAAAGAACTTATTGTTAGTTAATTTCAGGAGGAAAGAAAAATAAGGGTATTACAAACAAAATGTGCCCAGAATAGAAAAAGGCTATAAGTTTCACTTTTGAAATATCTGATTAAAGCATAACTACATATGTACCTGAAATCTCTAATTATATATAGAAATACACATTAGATAACTACAGAACATTTTAATTGTTAATTTCAAATTTTGGGGTGGGGGTGGGTTTTGTTGTTCTGTGTTTGTGTGTGTTTGTTTGTTTCTTTTTGCTTGGCATGGCTTCCTATGCTGGTGAAGCAGACTTGTGAATGTATACAAATGGCAGTTGGAGAAAGTTGATCATGTTAGAATTGATCTTTGGCTTCATTTGCTTTGGCTTGTTTTATCAATAGTGTACACTTTTTGCCCATCTCCACTGGCACTGCATTACGTTTAGGTACAGGGGTGCGTAAGAATGGTACTTACTGGTTTAGACCTTGCTTAGTTTTTAAGCGAGTACAAGACATCTATAAAGAAAGTGACTTTTTACTACACTAATTCTGCAGTATGTGTTCAATAGCAATTAGTTGATATGAAAAATGTTGGTTTTTCTTCCAGCAAAACCAAGGTGATTGCTTGCGCTGTATCTACAAATCCACTGATTGCGAAGAGAACAACCAAAATGCAGGGCGAACAGGCAGACAGCAGGAACTTTTAGTGACACTAGGGAAGATTTTTTTTGTATTGAAGACTGCTGCTTCTGTTTTCTTTTACTTCTGCTTGTGACTGGGCTGATCTGCAGAGTCTACTCTTTAATAATGACTAAACATTTGTAACAGACTATCTTGAAGTTTGTATTAAACACCAGTGGAAACCACTTAATGTAAAATTTGCTGCTTCATTTTGATTCATGGTATGATCTTTATTTACTGCTCCTGCTGCTCTTTGATCTGTTGACATATGCCTCATTTCCACTTTTTCCTGTGCATAGTAGACAAGCAGTTTCCACAGGAGCTATATACACAAACATTTGCAGTAAGGTTTGCTGGCTGGGTTATTTCTAGAATCAAAGCAAGAGTTTTATTTGCTTCTGTACAGAACAGATTGCTTTATCTTTTTGTGTGAATGCCATAATTTATATAGATGCTAAGTTAATCTAGTGGCATTGGTTGTATTTTAAAAATTGTTTAAACCAAATACATTTCAAGGTATGCTGTTTACGATGGCAGTGATAATAGCAGACAGTTCATACATAAACTGTTTCTTTATAGACCATCTAAACAACCTTGGAAATAAACTGTGTTTACATACTATAAAAATACTAAATATTGCCATGGTTAATAATACAGATCACTGTCTTTCATTGTCTGTAAACTTCTTTCCATTTTTGGAACAAAGATTGTATGTGAGGAGTTTTTTACATCAGTTACGTGCCAGTTGACCTCCTCTTGAGAATCAGCCAGAAATTGGACAAATCTAAGTCTGCCAAACACAAGTACAGTTAGTATATAGTCAGTAAAAACTATATGGGTTGCCATGGGGATCTGAACAGGTTCCTTGTCATACATGCTGGTCCTGACATATAGGTCATGCCTGGACTGGGCTTTAAGCTGAGAAGGGATCTTCTCTGTCCAGTGACCATCCTTCACCCTCTACTAGTACCGATTAACTGAAAGAAGAACTTGCCTGATTTGAAAGTGAGAGCAATACAGGCAGGAGGAGAGGAAGATGAAAATGCCCCTCAAAGGCAGATGAGGAGTGAGTGTTTCCTCTGGGAACTGGGATAAGTTCAGATGGACTGACAAAACTAGAAGGATGAGATGCAGGACTTAACAGGGAACTGAGGGACAGAACACCATGGCCGCCATATTGGGAGAAGATACGTAACAGGAGACAGTGTTGCAGGGTGAAGACATTGGGCCTAGAAGCAGGTGAAATATACTCATTTTGGTTAGAAGAGACCTTTAGGATCATCAAGTCCAACCGCTTACCCAGCACTGCCAGGTCACCGTTATGGTAAACCATGTTCCTACATGAAATGGGGAGGCAAGAGCTAAAAGGGGACTGTTGTAGTAACAGGGTGAAACTCAGGTAGCCAAATTGAGCTAAGGATTCACAGTGAAAAGACCTATCTTCAAAGTCTTTCTCCCAAGTGGTACTGTATTTTCACATCTTAGTGGAATATGATAGACTTAGTCTTTCATTCATATGTGCACAATGTATTTCAATTTATTACAAAGATGGAATGTTTCATTTGTTGTGGCTTATAAGTGCTATGCATGTTTGCAACAGTGCAGGTATGTTTATGATACACCTGCTCTTGCTTTTTCTTTGGGAAACAATGTTTTTATCCTTTTTCAAGTAGAACTTCATAGTGACAGAAACTACACTCCTAACTAAGATCCTGGGAAGCAAATGCAGAAGAATAACAGAAATGTCTGCATTCTGATTGTATTCAATCAAGGCAGGACAATTAAATTTACTCCATATGTTCTCATGTCCCATTTAAATCAGTACTATATCTGCAGATTATTACCTTGAAGTGCCTCCCAATCTGAATTTGTTATACTTGCATCTGTTCAACAGACCTTAAGTGAGTTTATATAAACTAGGAATACATCTTAAAAGGAAAACAGCAGAATAATCTTTAGGCTGTGTCTGGGATTACAACAGTTTAGAGAAAGAATGTTAA